CGCAGCGCCGAGGGGCGGCACTACGAGACCAACCCCGCAGCACCCCAGCTGCTCTGCCCCAGGCGTCTGGATTCAGCCTGCTGGTGAAACTGACGCTGCTGGTCAGTTTCAGCAGCGGCTGAATGGGGAAAGCCTGTCCGGCTGCCCCAGCACTTCCGGAGTGCCGGACCATCAGGAGTCCCGGAGCATTGGATGCCGGACTAATGGAGTTTTACTGTAGTAAGCTGCTATCATGTTCCCTCTCAGTCTTCTTTTTCTAAACTAAACAAATCCAATTATTTCAATCTTCCCTCATAGGTCATGTTTTTTAGATCTTTAATCCTTTTTGTCGCTGTTCTCTGGACCTTGTCCAATTTCTTCACATCTTTCCTGATATGTGGTGCCCAAAACTGGACACAATACTCCTATTGAGACCTAATCAGCACAGAGTAGAGGGGAAGAATTAATTTTCATGTCTTGTTCACAACACTGTGCTAATGCTTTACAGAATTATTTTATTTTATTTTTTGCAACAGTGTCTCACTGTTGACTCATATTTGTGGTCTACTATCATCCCTAGATCCTTTTCAGCTGTACTCCTTTCTAAGTAGTCACTTCCCATTCTGTTAGGGTATGTCTACACTGCATCCTTAGTTCGAACTAGGGATGCAAATGGAGACAATCGAAGTAGTTAATGAAGCGGGGATTTAAATATCCCGCGCTCCATTAACATGATCTCGCCGGCGCGCTAGTTCGAATCACAGCTGATTCGAACCAGGAAGTGTGCGCCGGGATGCGTTAGTTCGGACTAAAGCCCTTAGTCCGAACTAATGTTACTCCTCATTTTTTGTAGCTGTGATTCGAACTAGCGCGCCGGCGAGATCATGTTAATGGAGCGCGGGATATTTAAATCCCCGCTTCATTAACTACTTCGATTGTCTCCATTTGCATCCCTAGTTCGAACTAGGGATGCAGTGTAGACATACCCTCAGTGTGAAACTGATTGTTCCTTCCTAAGTGGAATACTTTTCATTTGTCCTTATTGAACTCAATCCTATTTACCTCAGACCATTTCTCCAGTTTGTCCAGATCATTTTGACGTATGATACTATTCTGCAAAGTACTTGCAACCCTTCCTAGCTTGTTATCATCTACAAACTTAATAAACATACTCTCTATGTGCTATCATCTAAATCACTGAAGATATTGAACAGAACTCATCCCAAAACGGACCCCTGCAGAACCGCACTTGTTATTCCCTTTCAGCATGACTGTGAACTACTGATAACTACACTCTGGGAATGGTTATCCAATCAGTTATGTACCCACTTTATAGTAGTCCAATCTATGTTGTATTTCCCTAGTTTATTGATAAGGAGGTCATGTGAGATTATCAAATGTATCAGAGGCAGCACAGCAGGTAGAGCAGGAGCCAGTGCTAGGGGAAGCAAGCTTAAAAGCCAGTTCCCCCCAGCACCGTCTCTGTGGGGGGTAGCAGAGCCAGAGGTGCAGTGAGGGAAATGGTGCGAGTGAGGACTGAAGTAGTCCCTACTTGCCCCGGGTCCCAAATGCTGTGCCTCCATCTTTTAAATGTAGAAAGAGCCACAGATAGTAAGCATGCCATCCCACCATCCACTAATCGATCAGCTGAATAATCAAAATTTACATCCCTATTTCATAGATAATGTTTAATGGCTCAGCTATCTCCTTAATCAGATCCTTGAGTACTCTAGAATGCATTACATCAGGCTCTGGTGACCTGAAGACATCTAGCTTTTCTAAATAATTTTTACTTGGAACATACTTGGGAACACATAGTGGTTCTGTCCAGGAATTAGATGGTTTGGGAGGAAATTATTGAAGAAATTCATCATGTGACATAATGTCAGCTTCCTAGTAACCTTCTGACCTGCTTACTTAATGATCCAGTAAAGGATCTACATTTTAAACAGAATGAAACATTAATTACTTTTTCATTGTTAGCAGCCAGATTCTCTATTCCACATTACTGGAAAATGTGTCCCCTGCTCTTACAGGATTATGGTGTGGTAAAATATGGACTCATTTTGTAATGGAAAAGCTTTCCCACCAAGCATTATACATAAGAAGCACCAAAAGAGGATAGATATTTAGAAATGTGGCCACCCTTTTTACTGGACTCAGAGGAAGAGGGCTTCCTAGCCAGTAATCTAGAATCTTTAGTCATGTTCTTTGAATGTCAACTTCATCCTGAATAAGTAATGTATGATGTAGTATGTTTATAATAAAAAGATAGGAACTGAAGTCCTTGAAGATGAAATCATGGCTTTTGGGGGTGTATATATCACAAATATGCATGGGTGCATTTGAGACAATCCTCTTACTACACTATTTTCTGGTGATGGATCAAGTGGTTAATAAATGGTAAAACAGTTGAGTGTAAACAAATGAAAAATAATTAGTCTTAGAACAATAAACAAAGCTTCCAATTCTAATGCAACTGACAACACACTAAAGCATTTACATAAGGTTTATCCCAACCAGCCTGGTAAATGGTTTAGGATATCTTCAGATTTTCCCAGGCACATTTTCTAGTGCACACTCTAGAGAATGATAATTGATATGATGTTATCTGTAAACATACTTACTGCTAGTCAGATTACTCATTTCTGGATCGAAAGGCCAAGTCTGTAAATTTAAAAACCATAATTAATTCCAAAACCTTGGATTTCCTTTAGGCAATATACAGTTTCCTTTCGCATAAATGAAAACTTTTTATGGTGATCTGATAAACATGAAAGAAGTTTAAGTAGTTATAATTTACTTGATTCTGCTAAATGCAGAAAGACAAAATTGCTAGCTGATATATTCCAGTTCCGTGGAGAAGAGCTATTCTGCTCTTGTATACATTTTCTCATTTACTCATTATATTTTCTAAAATAAGTACTCTTGAGGTAACTTTTTCTATTAAGAGCATTTTCCAAAGGGTCAGACTGAGTTTACTGAAAAACTGCACAATTGACAAGTGCCATAGTTGAGGATCCCATTCTAAAGAAGCATGATTTTGACTGCAGCATTTGCTTCTGAAAGAGCTGGAACCTCTGTTGGTTCAATTCTGCACTGTGGTCCAGCACAGGGGACTGATAATTAGGGTACGTCTAGACTACATGCCTCTGTCGCCAGAGGCATGTAGATTAGGCTACCAGACATAGTAAAATGAAGCGGTGATTTAAATAATCGCCACTTCATTTAAATTTACATGGCTGCCACGCTGAGCCGCGCGGGTGGCGACATCAAAGGTATTTGTCGACCACCCAGGTAAACCTCATCCCAGGAGGCTTACCTGGGTGGTGGACAAATACCTTTGATGTCAACACCCGCGCGTCCAGACTATCGTGCTGAGCCGACAAACAGCTGATCAGCTTTGTCAGCCCAGCGCAGCAGCCATGTAAATTTAAATGAAGCGGCGATTATTTAAATCGCCACTTCATTTTACTATGTCTGGTAGCCTAATCTACATGCCTCTGGCGACAGAAGCATGTAGTCTAGACGTACCCTTAGTGTCCCCAAGTTCTCTTCTACCACATATCAGTGACTTGCTCTACATGAGTCACGTGGGGCCTATATTTACATGCTGAGTACCTGCAGTGCCCATTGACTTCATCGTAGCTATGGAAACTTGGGACCCCGAAAACTCAGGCTAGCGACCTCTGTTCTTTCTGGAAAATGAGGATGCTAATGTGTACCTACCACACTGTGCACAGATTGTAAAAGCCCTTGCTTGATAAATATGATAAATTAGTTTAAATAAGGCTGAAAATGGAGAAATAGGAAGTGTTAGGCAACACTGGTGACCTGTGCTAAATGTATACCTGTTACTGTTAGCACCTACATTGTGCCTCATAGTTAATGTGAAAGGCAGTAAGTTAACTAGTACCTGGAAGCGTTCTATTGATACACAACTGTAACAAATAAATGAATGTCATCTAAACACTTATCATTTAAAATTAGTCTGTATGAAATTATGATTCTTAAATACAAGTTATTATATTTTAGAAAACAATTTCTTCTGGGAAGAAAAATAAAGTCCTTCTTTACTCTGTCATATTTTGTAAACAGTAAATAACATTGCCAATACAAATTCAAGAGTCCCAGAGGTGGGGGGAGGGTATTAATTAAAATTGTCATATTCCTTTCCTTCTCATATTCCTTAAGTTAACTTGTCTATGGAAGGATTCCAAAATAATCTCTAGTTTTATATCTTTAAAACAATGTTTTTTATGACGATTATGAAAACTGTTTGCCCTAAGTTTTCTCTGAACACAGTAATGATCTCTGCATAAACACATGTATTGCCTCTTCATTAATATACACCATTCATTATACAGCATCTAAAGTTTAAATAATGCCACAAATTGTACACTAGCATAAATATTCTACTATCCACTCTGGAAGATACAGCTTTGATGAATTTGTAGGGACCTAATTTAACCTCTTTTTATTCACACACATATGTCACATAGGAAAAGTATGTATGCTTTTTAATAGGATCATCTTAATTGGATCCATAATGACTTTCCATATATTTCCAAAGAGTGTTAGAGGAAACTCTGCCTGAAACAAGGAAAGATGGCCTATTTTCATCAGTAAATCTAATTGCTCCGGTCAGTCCAGACTCAGACTTTAGCTATACATATAACTTGGCTGTGAACCAAGAAAAACAGGTACATCTAGTCTGTTTTTTCAGTTTGTTTAAAAAACAGACAAATAAAAAACAAAACACCTTTCTTAGTGATTTTAGGCTTCTCTAATTAAGTAGAGTATAATATAGGTTCATATTTTTTCATGTACAACACAAGGAAACACATTTGGTACCCTTAATCCCTTGTCTTCCTGGGCCTGACCTTGCTCACTCAGAAGTCAGGAGGAGTGTCACAATATAAATCTAATACCCAATATTCTTGCTATTCTCTTTGCTTTCTCACATCTTTTCTTGCTGCTGACTGTAGTATTTCAGGGGTAGTCTCAAAAGAGACATAGTTTCTTGGTATGTACACTTTGACGGAGTAAAGGCTCGGTTACTCTATCAAACTGCAGACTCGTACTTAATGTGTTATCCCTAGTCACACCTGTGTTAAAGTACTTCTGATGTCTAGGTTCCTCCACAACAATGATTATCCTGATTTTAGATTATTTCTCTCACATGTGCAAATTGCATTTTTCAAATATTAATTTTATTTTCTCTTCCTTTACTGTGTGTGAGGGTGAAGGGTCTCGGAGTGTGGGCTCCAGCCCAAACCCGAACATTTACACAGTGATTTTCAGCTTGCAGCCTGAGTCCCATGAGCTCCTGTGGCCACGCCCTAGTCTTTTATCCCTGTATAGACAAGATCCAAAGGACTATTCCTGCATATAAAGCAATGAATGTGTTTAAGTGCTGACAGATTGGAGGAAATGTTGGCAAGTATTATGTTAATTTTACAGATGGTAAACTGACACACAGAGAGACTGGTTGACATACCCAAGACCACATTCTCTCTGGCTAATTGCTAAAACAAAAATAGAATGCAAGCATCCTAACTCTAGGCCCCTTGCCCTATTCATGGGACTACACTGCCTCTCATCATTTCTCTTATTAAATAGACATACAGGGATACAATAGCTATTTTGAGATATTAATAACCACATGAATTTACTTACATCTCTCTCAGCAACTCTCTAGCAAGACCATGGTTTGACACTATATGTCATATGAAATTCAGTTGCTCATCTTTGCCCTGAGAAACCAAAGTTAACTTTAGCCAGGTTCTTTTTGGTAGTACACTGTATTCTTGGCACATTTGGAGAGGCACAGAGATATTTTCCCCATGAACTGCAATATCTGAACACAAGGATTTGCTACACTTTCCTATTCAAAACATTTTTCGTTTTCCTTTTGTTTCATATTCAGATTCATTTTGTAGATTTAAAAGGTAGACACCGACTCTTTTATAAACTATAAACTCAGCTATTCTGACTCCAGTTTCTCCTATTTCTAACCATTGTATAAATGTCTTTGTATTATTGTCTCTGTTCCTCCTGGCTTTTGCAATAAGTGAATTGCTAGTAATCAGTTAATGTGCTTTTACTCTTATATATGCATGATTTCAGAACCCCATTTTACCAAAAGAAATGTGCATGCTCTTTTGTCAGCAGATGATACTACACTGATTTTTTTGAAAAATAGCAAAGATCCCTCAAAGGATCAATGCACTAGGATTCCCTTTTAAATTGTCATCTTTGACCTCTGTTCTATTTGTTTAGTTTTTCAAAAGAATAAATAAGTGGAAAGGTGTTTGTGCTTGTGACTCATAGATTGGAGGTTCTGGAGAATGGTTAGAATTTAGCCTGGGAACAGAAATATCATGAATTAGCAGCGCTTATTTACTTTACATTCTCTTACCAATGCGTCTTAACCCTGATGTGGAGGGCTAGTAAGCTGTTCACCCTACAGAGTAATGAACTCCTTGGTCTTTCTGCTGAATCAGTCCACAAACAAACCCCATGGATAGGGCAAGTGGCTAAGAGTTAAGAGACTTGTGTTCTATTTTTGTCTAAATAATTGGCTAAAGAATTGTGTTCTTGGGCACGTCAGCCAAGTCTCTCTGTGGGTCTGTTTACCTATCTGTAAAATTTACATAATAGTTACCACAGATCAGAAGACAGACTGATTAGTCATCCTATCTGTGTCCTTTACTCACAGATGCATTGAAATATCTTGGTTGGTGGACACACTCCAGGTCTGAACTCAGGCTAAAATCTGATCTTGTAAGCCATGGAAAACTAGCTTCCCTCCTCCAAGAGAGCTCTACAGCTTTTAGCCAGGGAGGGGTTTTGTTTGGAATTGGGAGCTTCTATGACTAACTGATCTCTCACAGAATGAGGACTGAGATATCTGGAGGACTACATGATCTACAAAGCTATAAATTTTTGTTGTTGTTGGGCTGTGCTAGAAATTTTTTTCTTCAACATTCTCCAGTAAGCCTGTATATTACTTTCTGTGGCTGGCTACTAAAGGTCAATTAAGTAGGTAATATCACTATGGATGTTTCTTAGGGTGTGTCTAGACTACAGGGTTTTGTTGACAAAAGTGGACTTTTTTAGACAAAACTATACCTGCGTCTACACTACTGCTGAGTTCTGTTGACAGTAAGTCAACAGAACGCAGCAGTTTTGTCGATGGAGGTAAACCTCATTCTACAAGGAATAACGCCTTTTTTCGACAGAGTTATGTAAAAAAAAAAGGTGCCATTGCATCCACACTGTGCTTTTTCAAAAGAGAGCATCTAGACTCTCTGTTGAAAAAGCTGCTTGCTTTGTTGACAGACCTGGCTGTAGTCTAGACGCTCTTTTTCGACAGAGGCTTTGTCGACAGTATCTGTCGACAAAGCCTCTGTCGAAAAAAGCCTGTAGTCTAGACATACCCATACTGTCAATTTCTAGAATTGAGCTCTCCAGAACTGGTGACAGCTTTCCCAGTAGGCAGCTCTCATTTTTGGAACTTGCAAGCCTGGGCTTTCTGCCAGAGCATATCTTTACTGATCGTCAGAATACAACATAAATCATCATGTTTAGTTTGTTTCCATTCATGGCCATTTGATGAATTTTATATTTAGTCCTATAGTATTTAAAATAGTGCCTGTGTTGCA